TGGAGGCAAGTTCTTCCACTGATTAATTGTTCTAACTGTCAGGAAATTTCTCTTCAGTTTTAAGTTGCTTCTCTCCTTGATTAATTTTCATCCATTGCTTCTTGTTCTACTTAGATTCCATATATGCCTTGGCTATATATTTGGTACCTCTCATTTTTGCTGGCCGTACATGTTTCTGCTACTCCTGTTCATATTTTAGTAATACTAAATGTTAAATAGCGCACAAATTCCTAAGACCTTCTAGAATGGTTCACCTACCTCTTTTTTGTCTATTAAATATGAAGTTTACTCATGAGCATCAATGTGTATTAACTGTCAACAAGTGGTGGCAAGAAGGTCCAGCTTGGAAAATGAAGGCTGCATTTTTGGCAGACAAGATTTTGATTTGTGCCTTTTTCTATAATGGTCTATGCATCAAGGTTGACTACTACAGCATTTTCCTGGGGCATTTTCTAGATTTAGACTATGGGACTTCAATTCCTGATTTATCATATTTCTTATGTTTTTCTACTTTTGTGATTTAAAGAGGTACACCATAAAAAACTATAGAAAAATGTCATCAGCTGCAAAACTTATTCTAAGCATCCTTTGAAAATCACATGTAGATATTATAATGCCAGTATTGATCTTAAAGTAAAAAAAAATGGAACACATTATGGCTGGCTGAGGAATTCTGGGAGCTGAAGGCCATCCATCGTAAAGTTGTAAATGTTAAGAAACACTGCTCTGTGACCCACATTTCTGAGTAATAAAGTTGAAGAATTACAGTGTAGCACTGATAGAATTGGGCAAAAACTTCCAGAGAGCATAGTTCCCCCCAACCACAATAAATGTATATGGCTGGTAATACTTAATAGGACCTTTTATTTGAAAAATGCTGTGAATACAGTGAGAAACTGAAAAGCTCAACATAACACAGAGATTTATATAAAAGAATGGCCAGCCACAAAACATTTTTTCCAGTGGTGTAGAAAAATTATAAAATTTAAGTCAGTCGGAAAAAAAAATCTTCAGTTTTCCATGTCTAAAAATTCAGCAACCAAAATCTAGTTCCTTTCCCAATTTCTCTTTTGGTTGAGATGAATTATTTAGGTGCTAAGTTTGACCAAATGGAATCTCTTATAATTTGTGATGGGGGCTTTGTGGTTGACAAGTGAGGTAACAATTCTTCAAACAAATAAATTCAAATTTTGCATTCATTATCTTTTTTCTGCACTCATGATCAAGAAACAAAATGCTTCTAGCAATTATGGAACTGTTCTTGGGATTGTGAAAGAATTAGGAAACAGATGACACAAGAGAGGCCTGGGTGCAGAAAGAAAAAAAAGGAAGGGCATAGATAGATAGAAGTGCCTTAGTGCTATAGGATCGATAACAGAGGATAGAGTGAATGTAATAGCACCATACAGGAAGCTTTGACTTGTGCATAAGGAAAGCTCTTCTGGGCTTCTCCCTGCCGTTGAATGTTGTCATTCAGCCTCCTCAGCCTGGTGTGACATCCAAATGAACATGACTATGACTTGGATATTACCTCAGGTGTCATGGTTATTGGTCATAGTGATTGAAAAATAATGGAATTTCTACTGGAGGCTGAGACCTCAACTTGGAGTGAACTATCGGAAAGAATTCTAACTCTTTTTTTTAGCAAATATATTGCTGGGAATTGATGATGATGATGTTTGAAGATTTTCTTGTGAGAACTTAATCTGCTTTCTTAGGTACTAGATTTTATAAACTACATCAAACTGGTTGCTTTTACAGCAATTAAAGGAGTTGAGGACAAATAGGTGAATAGAAAATCAATACTGATATTTGAGGCAAAATGTTAAAGAACTCAATTTACAAAGTCAAAAGTCTTGTTGATTTTTAAGGTGGCTTAGGTTGCTAGTTTTTTTTCTAATTAGTTTCTCCTCTTCCCACTTCAACATATAGCATTTAGAAGAGTGTAAGGTAGAATAACCTTAAAAACGTGGCATTGATGAAGTAAAAAATAATAATAAAGAGCCTATTCAACAGGACAAAAAACATAACACCCAAAGCATCCACGATAGTCTTGGCAATCAGAAAATGAAACAAACCCATTGATGATATAATTTTAAGTCATTCTGGTAAAGAAAATCTTAATAACTAATGAGACTATAGGATATTCCCTGGATAAATTTCATTTTCTTAGGAATAGTTTGCATTTTTTTTCAGGCACTTTATTTCACGCTGTACAGGTTTCTTTATCAAGCGCCATAGAGAATTTAGGATTAGGGTTAGGGTACTTAGCAAGTAGACACATCAGTGGAATTTCCTCAGCCACATTATGGAAGTGGTTTGCTGTTGCCATCTTCTGTGATTTATTCTTTTGACTTCCCAGTTTAGTCTATAGATTGAGATTTCCTGGTGGTCTCCCCTCCAAGAATTAACCAGGTCCAATCCGGATTAGGTTCTCTGAGATCAGTTAAAGTTACTTTAGGAAGTTTTAATCCTGCAGAATCATATGTGAATTTATGCTTACTGAAACCTAGATTAAGTGCATCTAATGTGTTATGTTTGGATATTCAATTTTTAAAAAAATCCAAAAACAGAATTCTGTATAATTGGTTTTAAATATTAAGTAAAATGTGCAAAACTTTTAAAACTGTTTAAAACTTTTAAAATTTTACTATATGCAGCTATGATATGCCTTGACACATGAAGCAAGTATGAAATGCATTTGAGCATTTAAGTGCCACCTTTGCATCTATTATTGGTTTGATGTATGTGGGATTACTTCAAAATACTATCAGTTCAAAAACAGTGACAAAGCCATGATAACGAGGCATGCACCAAGGAAATCAAAAGAGGCCATTTATATTGTGAGGCTCTTTGAAATCTGTCGAAACCAAAAGTAATTCTTTTCCAAGAAAAAGTTCTCAGACCTAAGCCTTAGCAGGATTTATTGAAAAAAAATAGACACGGCTACAAGAATTATGGCTATTAGATTACTTTCCATCTTAAAAAAATAACCTTTGACAGATATCATTGGATTCAACTAGTGGAAAATACTTATCCTTGAAATAGAGCATTGTCCAAATTTGATGTCACTCTAAGTAATTAAAAAATAGATCTGACTTATTTAACACTGATGGCCACAAATTTTTATTGTAGATCTTCAAACCAAACTATACTACAAATGAAGACAATAAAGAGAACAAGACCAATTCATCTGAACGGAGCAGAGCTGCTATTATTTTCTCTTTAAAGAATGAAGTTGGAGGACTTGTCAAAGCCTTAAAACTCTTTCAGGTAAGGTGTTACTCTTACCTACAGTTGAACCAGAGGTGGGTAGCTCCTGGTTTGGCCCATATTGGGCGAACNCCTTCTACAAATAAGGGGTTGCTAGAACAAAAACGTGCTTTGGAATGCCACACTTTAAAGAATCTCACACTTTCCCTTTCTTTGTAAGTGAGCATTTTCTGTTTCCTACTGTTCCCATGAACCTTTCGCACACCTGATGATGCTGTTGCTTGGTGCTTTTTCTGCATCTATGCTTCAAATAAGAAATGCCTTGGGATTAGATAGGTTTTTGGGGGGCTTCAGTTCTATATCTGTCTGTATTATAGAAGAGCAGGATGCCTCTGCACCAGAGTCGTTCTTTGCAGGAACTCCTGTTACAGTTGGTTGTCTGGTTGAATCAAACAGGAGATTTGTGGGGAGATTAGGAAGAGGAGAGAGCCTCCCTTGTGAATTGGCAATTCTTATGATGGTTAAAAAAAAATGTGGCGAGGATTTCAAAATTACTCAGATAAAGATCTTGGTTATTTCTGTTTATAGCCCTGCTGTTCAAAAGTGCACAAGGCAATTGAACTTGAATGAAATAACGGGAGAATTGACAGGCTTTTATTTAAGTACGGTTGTCTCCCATTGCCTGTTTCCTGGCTTGGCTTTTTTTTTTAGCATGCCTTGGGAAAAGTTGCGTGCCCTTTTTTTGTCTTGCATCCTTCAGTGGGAAATAAACAGTGAGACAGACATGGTTCTGTAAATTCTGCACGGATTCTAGGTAACCAGAATAATTTCCTACCCCAAATGCTCTTTGGGAAGGGATTGACTGACCATAAATTATAGGAAGAAGTAGGATACTGCTAAGAGGCTATTTAACCCAGCACTCTTCTTGAAGTGCCACCCAGACACCAGCAGCCAACTAGAAAAGTAGGCTGTCCACTTGGTATTCTTAGCTCTATGTTGTGGTAGCCATTCTATGCATTAAGGTCAAAAACTGCATTTGTGTTTGTCCTCTTGTATTGTTCATTTATAGCAGTCCAGTAAATTAGAAAGTCTTCTTTGCATAGCGATCCACGAGCATGCTCATGTTGTAGACTGTTTACAAAAAAAGACTGCTGAGTGTAGTCTTTAACTTAGAATAACAGAGTTGGAAGGAACTTTGGAGGTCTTCTACCTGCTTAGGTGGGAAACCCTACACCAATTCAGACAAATGATTATCCAACATCTTTTAAAAAGCTTCCAGTGTTGGAGCATTCACAAATTCTGGAGGCAAGTTCTTCCACTGATTAATTGTTCTAACTGTCAGGAAATTTCTCTTCAGTTTTA